AGGTGTAGCCTACAGCTCTGTCCTGTACACAGATTGTACATCCTAATAGGTAACTATTTTCAGTTTTCAGAGGTTGTTGTGAAAGGACAGTGCTGACTGTGGAGGAGCTGAGGATAGTAAAGCAAGTCAGGGATGCAAACTAGTCTCTTTTAAGCTAATGAGGAGACACTTCTTTTGGATTTAATTAAGGTAATTAAGTTAGGTGGTTCTCATGTTACCTGTTTTTCATATTAATTTCTACAGATAAATGTCAAAAACTGTAAATTGAGACATCGCGTCTATAATGATTATGAGGTCATATTAACAGGGTTTCCCTGCCGTTAAAGGCTGGAGGTGAGGCCCGAAACAGCTTGGGTGCTGTGTCATGAATGTAAAATCAATGTGGAGAGAGGATGGAAACTAAAACTAAATAACTTTTCCAAAATCGATTGGTTGTAGTCCCTCCCCAGACAAATTCTTCAGCAAGTTTAGGCCTGTTTATTTCTAATTTGCTCTAGCTTTTCACTGCACTACATCTCAACCCAGTTTCACACCTGTAGAAGATTGTGGTGGCTGTATGTCGTTTTGTTGTGTGGCTGTGTTTGTTTTCTGTGGTGTTGTTCATCCCGCCAACAGCCACTGACCAAGCAAGGAGCACTGAAGCAGTTCTGGAGGGTCGTGGCAGCCTGATCCAGACTGACACTTAATTTCATGAGAATTATCGGTTTTTGGCCAATAAGAGATAAATTACTGACAAATCAAGGTCCTCAATAATGTTGATGCAAAAATCATATAAATCCAAATGTCATGAAATGATGTATAATTGGAAAGTTGAGAGAGAAGAACTCCCATTTATATAACGTGTGCACCACACAACAGCTAATGTGAAAAACATTTTTGGATACAGAGTAGAACTGAAACAATTAGTTGAATAATTAATTAATTCAACAAAAGATTATTGGCTACTATTTTCAGCATCCAGTAGAACACATTTGCCATGAGCGTGCTAAGTAATATTTGGAAAAAGAACATGTAGCATCCATTACGAAGTTCAAGTTATGTAGTTATTTTATGCAGTTTTAATACTCCTCATTTATTTAAAAAAATTTTTTTTTATCTGTTGTATAATTCAATTTATTAGTAGCAGTAGATGTTGTTACAAAAATGTAATAAGTAAACATCTACAGAAGACTGCATGCTGGAAAATGAAAACTTTTCACACCCACCTTTGACATCTACAGGACGTGTTTGATTGATGGCGGTGGTTATTTTACGATAGAGCAAATGTCTGAACGTGGATGTACTGACATTGTCCACATACACCTCAGTCAGCCACAAACCTTAATATCCAGATGAAATGTGGTGAATGCCGCCATCCAGTTGCCTTATTCAATAAATATTAAGATGAATGCACGTAAAGTCAAGGGAAAGATGTGAACAGAGACAAATAGATCCAGATCTACACTAGGTGGCAGCCGCTAAAGCAAAGACACACCTGCTCAAGTTGGAAAAGTTTTGACTCAACAAGACCATGACGAGCAAAAGATGAATAATACCATGAGAGAAAGTAGAGGATGAAGAAAATAATGAGAATAATGACACCGGAGTTTATGTTAAGTTTTGGAATTAGTTTTGAAATTGGAGGGTCAGAGCTGTCATACAACCGTCTGAGCTAGTTGTCACAGCTGTGCTGTCAGTCAGGGAACAGGCTGTTTGAGGCCAAAAGACACAGCCCGCAAAACCACTCCAGCAGTCAAAGCAAGCCAAAAATGTACTTAGCATTGTATCAGTTGGATGGAGAGAACACTGAGGGTCTGGCACTGAAAAAAGCCACCCCTGGATGATCCAGTTCACCCAGTCTTGGATCCAGCTGATTTGACTTGATATTAAAATCTATTTTTGAGTTGGTGACGTATATCCTCATTTGCAGTATTACAAAGTATAATGCCACAATATATTGTTACACCACAACGCACAAATATTAGTTTAGTGAGTCTCAGGGTTTTGTATTAGCTGTGTTATATTTGGTCTTTTTATATCCAATTACAAAATATGGTGACAGCTACAGGTGGTAAATGTAATCACAGAAATCTAGGCATTTATGCTCAGGGTGGTGGTAATGGTTAAAGCGTAGTTCACACTACACAATTTTCAGCCCAATTTGCCGACCTGGCCGACCATCAGGCTGTGATCAGGCTGTAAATCAGCAATCGATTGGCAATCGCCAGTCGATATGTGTGAACTACTCAACGACGCATTAAAACTGAACAGCACAGCGATCAGGTGATGCTGAAAGTCGTGTAGTCTGCACGAGGCTTAAGCAGTTGTGGCACACTGACAATGTTGTGGAAAGGGGTTAATGCTCCAGCATGCACGGGTGCTTTCCCCACTTATACCAACTAGTGGCTCTCTGAAACTAAGCAGCAGGTTGAGCTGGAACAGATTTCATGATGAACAGAGCTCAGTGCCTTAACGAACAGCACAAACTTAATTTTTTCACTATATATTGCATACCAACACTTCTGATAGACGCTTCAACCTGAAGAAACATGTCCTTTATCCTATCTGAAATGTTCCATTATGGCCTAGATGTAGCCTTTTGATGAAGTAGACAAGTGACTGCACAATTGTGCACACTCCTGGTTCAATATTAAAAAGATGTGATTTGATAAGACAATGAATGAAAGGAATTTAGTAAAGCATAAGTGGTTGATGGCGAAGGCCTATTTTGAGACTTAAATGTGTTGACCTGAAGAAATACAGTAACCCCAAATTCAGCAAGGTGTGTATGCAGAGAGGCAGCATTTGTTGAGGAACCACACAAAGAGGAGCACAGAGACCATGCAGACAACCAGAGAGATGTCAAGTCATGATTCTTCCAGTTGTGCATTGGCACTAGTCTCATCAGAGGTCTGCTCCTTGCCAAAGAGCAGCCATCTCCCGGCAACCTACTGCCTGTGTCCCTCTAATCCAGGGCAGGGCAGGGGCTGATGCGGTAGCTAAGCTAGCGGCTAGCGTTAGCTGCCATAGCAAATGAAATGCTGCAGATATACAGAGGACAGTCGGGGTTGGTGGCTGGCTGCTTTGACACCTAAAGCCATCGCCATCCACACGCCACACTAGGCTATAACAGCATACTGTATACAAGGGGTATCATCAGCTTCCGATCATGTAGCACCATATCCATTTATCTGTCCGCCGGCATCCTCTAACTTACCATTCTATTTGCTGTCGTGCATTAACTTAAGACAGGTCGCGACACCGCTGCTACTTACACTTGCCTAGATACACACAGTGATCGCATCTATCATTGGTCTCTTTCTCACCCACCCAACACTTTAACTCGCCAGATGGTTAACGCTTGCGGTTAGAATAGACTCGATAACAAGGTACCGCTAAACTAGAAAGGCTGGGGATTGATAACGCTGGACATTGCACGGTACTAAAAGGGGGGTAGTAACGTTAAGTCCATTATCATACTGCACATCTCAGCCTCTTTAGATGCGACAGTCAAGCCTCAATTGTTCGACACAATCGATTGTCCAATACCGACGTTAACCCACCTATTTCACTGAAGCCTGCCTCTTCAGCAATCTCCCATTAGCAATTATACCCAGCAGTGGCAGAGGAATGGGGACACGAGGCCGGCTGACAGGGACGACTAACGAAGGAAGGGGTAACGTAACAGTGTGCTGCCAACAACTGTTTGACGGCCAAGCCTCTAACATACATATTAAAGACAAGAACCAACTAGCCCCAAATTCATACATGGGAGAGAAAGACAACACCGGTCAGCTATGTCTTACCTCAGGCGGTGAGACGAACCAAGTTCCGCGTAGCAGCCATGTTCGGAACCACCATCTTCCTCCGTCTACGCGAACCGAGCCCCCTCCCCCGGGTCAGTCGTTCCTCTTCCTCAGCAGAAATCCAAAAATTGTGTTATAGAATCTTTTGCCGATAAAATCCCGGTGAGTTTAGTTCCCAGTAAAATTGCTTTACTCTCCGGAGCTCAGAGAGCGGGTTGTCGATGGGGACTGATTGCCGGCGCAGCACAGCTTGCCGTGCTGAAGGGGAGGTGGGCAGCCCTCCGCCTCAACCCCGGACACCTCGAATTCAATCTTCTTTCCAATCAGCAAAATGCATTTAAGTTACTTGTTCGAGGTTGATTCTCAGACATACAGAAGGCCACCTTACAAGTGCAGCGTGGGTCAGTGGGATTAGCAAGCCCGTCAGCGTGTTAAATTAATTAAAAGGCAAGAAGCTAACATTAGCTAGCTATTAGCTAGCATGCTAGCTCTCTAATAAAACACTGCCATTGGAATTTGATGGAAAACAGTCCGCACACTGCAGCCTGCTTGGCGGGCAACGGCCAGCCGATGGGCCACTGAACGATACAGGCAGACGCTATGAAAAAGCAAATATATTTTGGCAGGCAAAGCTACAGCTGGCTCTATACCGGCCAGCCCCTCCGTGATGTTAATATCGGTCAAAGGAGAGGGGCTGCATTGAGCGCGCACTCCCGACACCACGCAAGTACGGCCCAGCGCGTTCCAGAGAAATTCCCCACAAAATGGCTGCCAAAACAAATCCACCGCGGACATCCGCACAACTAACTTTTAAAAGTTTAAAAGTAAATGAAATGTGGTTGCGTTATAGCACCCGCTCTTCCACCGAGGTTTCGTCAAGAGGCTGTTTGACGCGAGCTGGTAGTTAACACTTTATGAATGCTGCTTCATTGCCTCCGCATATGGCTACATTTAACGACTGACTTCTAAATCTAGGTTTTTCCAGATACTAGTAGCGACATTTGGCTATCTTCTCAGATGGAGACTATGTCCTCTGTACAGGTGCTGGTCCTGCACCAACACTGGGCACCTGTACCACTAAGGACCAGTTCTGGAAATGTTTGCTGAGGCGTTCAATGCTTTAAGAACCCATGATGGTATGGATGACACTAGTTTGTTTACAGTTTAGTTAAATAGCTATACAATGTTATTTAATCAAAAGACAATCAAACCAAGAACGGATAAACATTTTATTAAAACAAAGTTGTCGGTTATTAAAAAAAATATACATTAAACTGTTGCACACTTATTCAAAATGATAACAATTCTGCTTCATATTCTAACAAGTTTTTCTACAAGTATCAAATTACTAGCTTGAGTGAAAAAGTCACCATCTATATTTATATGTAGTCGGTTCACTCACAGGGTCCTGTATGCCACCTCACCACTAAATAGATCAGCAATAAGGATTCCTTATCGTGCACACCTGAGGCTCTTGTTCACATGAGCTACCGTACAACATAACATACATTCTGACAGAATTATACACTACAATACTAGCCATTTGGGATGTATACTGTGTTGATACTTTGACCATCCTAACAATTTGGGGTGTGCCATCTGGAATCAGAAGCACCCAGACAAAGTAAGGAAATCAGAAGAGCAGGAGAAAAAAACATTTCATTCAAAGGAAAAAAATGAAATCAAAATAAACAGTAAGAAAAGGATCAGGAGCACAGAAAAGCAGGAGTATTGAAATAAAAAAAAAAAAAAACCTCACTGGAGCCAAAATCAAACATTTAGTCAAACTGTTTATTCCATCTGTTGAAATACTGCTCAGGGTAGAAAGTAACTTATTCCCTGGCAACATGTCTAAGGCTGGGGACACACTACACAAGACTGGAGATTTAACTTCCTGGTGTGTAGCTGCACAGGAACACAGACCTGTGCGTAACAAATGTGAAATATGGGTGGTCCAACCAGATATGAATACATATTATAAAACTTTTACTACTAAACATGACTTCCTCCAATCTGGCAACCAACAGATGTGGCTGAAATGGCCCCAAATGTCATGTAATGTGCTCCCAAACTTGTCAATAGGAAGACCTTCTAGCAGTTGGATGGCTGGTCAGTTAACTGTCAGGACGCCACCCCCAAAAACACAAAACAAACAAAAAAAAGAACCTGCAGCACTAGAGTGCTAGTCAGTCTTTCATACTGTGCAGTAATCGACAGACAGGATTGAGAGGAGGGCAACACGCAACATTATAAAACAGATTGAAAATGGTAATCCATTTCCCTGAACTTTCTTCCACACCTCATTTCTTCTGTTTAGGCGGAGGTCTGAGGAGAGACGGAAAAGAGCATGTTAACAATATACTATGTCGAGCTGACTGTAGCGGGGGGGGGGGGGGTCTGGATGTCAACCTGTCACCATAACTCAACTCTGGGAACATTAATATGGAGGGAAAACTGCTATCATGTCCCTTTCTGTTTTACATTCACAAACTCACAGCCTCTTTATTTTAAATCCCACACAGGTCATTGTACTTATTTAAAAGAGAAACAAAGGTGAAAAGAAAAACAGTGGATGAACTGTTTGACTGCTCAGGTTTGGTTTTGTAATGAAGTCAGATCCTGGCAAATTACTTTGGCGAGTAAGACCTTACCAAACTGATGACTGAAATTATGGCCAAAAGTATAAAATTAAGATCCCAGTTTCCTTCAAGTAGTGATGTGTGCAGAGCTTCAGCCTGGACTTGTATCCAGAGGTGTATATGTAGGTCTATTTGAATTTAGATTTGTAAGGAGTTCTGTAGTGTCTAGTATGTTATCTTAAAATCCTGCAAATGGCATGCCCAATTGACTGTTCTGCACTTCATTATTTACATAAACACACATGATTGGATGAGACAGCCAACTGGAGGAGCCTCAGATATTCATAATATCAATTCATACTGTCAATCAAAATGATTACTACGTATTATGTAAATAAAACCAAAGTTTTTGATCTCATTACTACCATTTCATTCAAAATGGCATAGCAGTTGCCAACTGGTTGGGATAAGACAAGACACTGAAATAAATAAAACTAAAGCTGGATCAAGACCAACAGAAGTTAATTATAGACCTCTCAATAAGGAAGTTGTGGAGACTTAACACTGCGGTTAAGTCTTAGTTTACTCATTTTGTACCTTACCCCAGGGGGAAAAAAAACCTTAGGGTACGAAAACTTTACAGCTACCAAAAAATAAAGGGGGTTTAGCTCTTCCAGTTTGGAAAAAAACGAGAAACATTCTGAAACTTGATTTATACTCCTGCGTAGGGTCTATGTAGCCATGCATTTTTACTTGTGCGTCGGTGTCCCCGTCATTCTGCAATTACACCCCCAAACGCCGTCAGCAGAAGCGCTACAGCGTCTACTGCGGAGACTTGCCGGCCTAGCAGGCTAACTTCCGGGTTTAGCTCTCCTTTAACATGAAGGGGGGTAAAATTGTAAACGTGTGGCTGGTGTAGCCTTTTCAAATGTTATCAACTGAATGGATGAATCAAATGTATTGATCCACCGTATTACAGACGCCGTTTTGGCCGCTAATAAAAGTTCATTCAAAGCACGGGCACTTCCTGTCGGCTCGGAGGCATTACGGGGCTACCCATCATAGAGCTTACAGTCCACGTCGACTCGCCGTGTAGTTAAGTTTTTGAGAAGGGGCACGTCAGGCTACGCCGTAGGTGACGACATAGGGTAGGGGGCTACACTGAGGCTATGCCGTCGATTTGACACAGAAGTATAAATTGCACTTAAGGCAGACCAACTAAGGCCTTTAGTTTGCTGGTGTACACCCAACTAAAATTAGATTGTATTAGGTGATGTTCCTCTTCCCATCGCTTGCTCACTTCTAATCTTCAATGATTGCTTATCTCTCACTGTCCAACCTACTCTTACAGTAAAGACAAGTCACTTCAATCTATTTGGCTTTTTTCATGTCTTTTTACCTCATAGTTTGGGGTCTTGTCTAAAGACCTCAAACGGGGGGGGGGGACAAAAACAAACATCCTCTCTTTCAGGCAATGTGCAAAGGCATAGTTTGAATTTGGCTCCTTTTATGGTAGCACGTTGTCAACAATGTCTACATCGTCAATAACCACATGTGGACCACCTGTAGTAGATATTTCAACTGGTCGGGGGGGATCAGTATTATGTCCGTGTACCTGTAGACGCCCACCACCACAGCATGGTCTCTCTCATAGGGTTCCAGTGTGAGCTGTTCTTGTGGTTTCATGTTCTCAGCACTCATCTTCTTCACTTCTGAGGCAAACACTGCCTCTGGAGCCGCTGTCGAGTCTATACAGTTAGCCTAAAGTAAAAACAAAAAACAGACATCAGATTACACACAGCTGACAATAGACTGAGTACGAACAAACGTCAAGGGAGCAGGGAATTTGATCTTCAGTCTTCTGAGGTTTCGCTTTCCTTTTACACATGTATTCCTGTCACTACGACTGACTTACAGATCAGACTGTCGTTAGTGATGTTAAAAATACACATTTTGATACATCAATTCTGAATATTTTAGTTTTAAAACTCATTTTGCTGTGTCCCAGCGAGTTGACACATTCACACACCTCTGCAGTGCCCACACAGCTCCGCCTGCTCTCACTTGCCATCTTCTTGTCACTCGTCTCCTTCGCTCCAGTTGATTCATGGTTTTTTTGTCTGCCTTTTGACGCGTTATGTTTTTTCCTGCCAGATTTTCGACAAGTCCCGCCCTGCTGTGCTATGATTGGCTAGTACTCGTCACTTGCACGTCACTTCTGACTGGATGCTAGCTGCGAGTGCAGCAAGTCCTGCCTTTCTGTGCCTTGATTGGCTAGAAGCCTACTCATTGACACCAAGATATTGTACAATTTAGAATATTTTAAATCTTTACATTTACAGAAATAAATTAACTGACGCTGCTCTGCTTAACACAGTACTATTTACCTTCACTTAATTTCTAAGATTAGTTGATTAGATCATTTTGTAATTATCCAGACATTTAATTTTGTCAATTTTCCCCTCGTGGTATCGAAAATGGTATCAAATATATTTTTCAGGTTTTCAAGTTAGAAATTCAAGTGTGGTGACAACACTGCTCGTTATCCCCATATCTAAACAGAACCATATCAAAGGGCTGATTTTGTTTAACACAAATTACCTTTGCTCACTGTCACTATACACAACAGTTTCTGAATATATTGAGTTTTATCCAGTAGCTAGCAAACCCTTAGAATATTCCAGACTACCCCAATTCATTCTCAAGTCATCACTGTACCTTGATGGAGATGACAAAATGTCCTCCATTCTTCAGGAAGTTGTGAGCGTTCAAAGCAACAATCCTAGTCTGGTCAGGCTGGGCAACATCAGCAAAAATTACATCCACCATTCCTAGAGAGGGAGGGACAGACTGTTACCGTCTGGACAGTGTCTACCTGCACATTCATGTTGCTGTGGACCCAGTCTCATTTCACCGATGAGCCTGATGACAGCATTCTGCTTTTGTCCACTGCTATTTTCAAAACAACAATCATGTGTCTATCAAGCTACATGACAACGATGTTAAAAAAAAAAAGGGGGGGGGGGGGTCATGTGTACAAGATATTACACTTCTTCATGCCCTAGCGCTCAGGAGCTTAGCGCAGTTCAGGAAACCCCAAAAGCAAAAACTATGAATTGACTGTTTCACATCAATGACCACATGCAATTTGAAAGTGGAAGGCATGGAAAATTAACATTGTTATTAAGTGCAAAGTCTTATTCAACAACCTGCACGCATCTGTGAAATCACACACTGCGTGTTTCAAACCGTTTCTTCCACTGCTCCGAAGACCTCTATTTCAGAAGCTGCTGTAAGACCCTTTTCCACTGCACAGTACCAGCTCAACTCTTCTTGGTTTTCCATTGTAGAAATGTTGCACCCGTACCTGCTTCCAGGTACTTTTTTCGTATCACCTCCGTCGAGGTTCCAAGCGAGGTGAGGGATACTAAAATGTAACGTGAAAACACGACAGACTGCTGATTGGTCAGAGAGAATATTCACTATTCACTGCATCATCATTGCTGCACCAGACAGAGGCCAGCAACAGAAAGTTTTATATTTTACAGTTTCCGTATGGAATTCCATCACTAAATCCACTTCTGAGAAGTTTTGAGGTGAGAAATCAGCTGTGTAGATTTCCAATATTGACAGTTTTACGAGAAGGGATGGCAGAACAAAGACGTGCTTGAAAATTTTGAGGAGCTCCGCAATAGGGCTGGGCAATAAAACAATGATAATTATCGCAATATAATTTTCCTCAATAACAATATAAATATATCGTCAATAAATATTTGGTTTAATTCATTTGAATCAAACAAATTAGCACTTAATTTTTCTATTAAAAAATATTTTGTTGAGAAAAAGAGGCCTGAAAAAAGATTAACTTATATTTTTTGAAAGCAGACTTTATCATAATAGTTTAATGTTCCACCTCAGATTTGTGAAGTGATCCACTGTTTGGCATCAAGTGTCACATTCTGACCATAAAGAAATGATCTGGTTTCTTCAATTTTCACTAAGGAGCAAAATCTGCCTTTAAACTTGAAAGAAATAATGATTTGACATTTATCGATATCGAATGCTATGAAATGTTTTTATCGTGATAACATTTTTGGCCATATCACCCAGCCCTACTCCGCGAGTGGCTGCGGGGGGAGCTTGTGAGGCCGGCCAGCCGCCCGCTCACAGAGCCCTCTGCTCCCGCTGTCACACAGACCGCTGCAGCAACAACGGCAGAGGAAAACACAGCAGGAAGCTTTTCATACCGCTTATCTGTCTTTACATTCTGAGGAATGTTGGAACGTTTTAACGAGTGGCGTCGCTATGACGACAAGCTACATACTATCTCTGGGTGCTATCTGCAATGGAAAACGGAGCAGGGCCAAACTGAGTCGAGTTGAGCTGGTACTGCTAATGGAAAAACGCAGTACTTATTACCCCACTAGAAACACTGTGCTCCCAGAATGCAGTCTGTCTCTGTCAGAATATTACTGATCAGCGGGTTACTGAGTTGCCTCAATTTTTTAATGTTAGTTTGTTGGTGGTCTGAAAGAGGCTGTTGCGATTGTATCTCAGAATGTCTGATTCATGGCTTCATGTACCTTCTTAAACATTACTGTTTAGTTGTGTACATCGCATACTTGTGCAGTTGGGATGTTAACAGGTTAAATTGCTTTAAAGAGTTTTCCTCACCAGTGTCAAGGGTTTGCTCATGGTGGGTCTCTAAATAAAACAGTATGGTCTATGAGCTATATGAATACTGAAAAAATAACTACAGTTTGTAGTTATTTCATTCACAATCTTTGTTAAAACAAATTCAAGTTAAATTTGATTCAATTTAAGAAACAGGACGCAAGAAATAAGACGCAACTACTGTTAACACCACTGCGGTTCTGGCTTTTCTTTTTTAACGCAGATCTAACTGTCTTCTACAGTGTTACTACGGTGGCTCAAGACTACCTACCAACCAGCATGCGATATTTGTGTGGGTGTCGAGCGTCTTCGATGATTGGAATGATGTTGGTGCGTTTCTTTGCCACATTGAGAAGGTCCCGACCTGATCGATGGGAAAACTCCACAGCGTAGACCAGCCCTTCCTGTAACACACAAGTTACATCAATGAAACCTTTAAACTTAGAAGGGTCTGTTTAAACGATCACAAAAGTTCATTTAAGTGATCATTCACCATTAACTTGTTGTGTGGTTCAGCTTAATATTACATTTAGGTTCAACTGGGTCTTTCATTTTATCGTCAGTGAAAAGTAGTGTTCAGTGTGGGTTTTTCATTTCATGCAGACTTAACACTGCATCCCTGGCTGGTGCTCTGATTTGACTGGGGCCGGGTGGTGCTGTCAGATTGTAGTGTAAATTTCCTGGGAATATTTGGTGAAAAAAAAAAAAAAAAAAAAAGGGCCATATGGTGATTTCTGAGGCCACAGCCTGTAGTATTGCTCACCGGTCCAACAATGTCAGAGACGTGTGACACTGTGGTGCCAGACGCAGCTCCCAGGTACATGACCTTTGCTCCGGGCTTGATATGGATCTGGTCGACTCCTCCCAAGATGGCTGCTGCCAGCTTGGAGCGGAACGGATTCCAGGCTCTGTATTCAATCTTTGTCTCTCCTTCCTAACAGATGAAGAGTAAGAAAACAGTAAATTATAATTTTACAAAGTCTGGCCACAATGCCAGAGACCACAGCTGCTAATTTCTCCTTTATAAAGGGTCGCTATGCAGATGCCTAAATGGCGCTGTGCGCTCATATTTCACCGCAAGTTATTGAAAAATGATGTGCGGAAACAGGGGCACATTTCTAAACATAATAATTTCACCCATGCATAGAACTCAGTTCTTCAGACACAGCAGGGCTCTACAGTGTCAGTATTTCACTCACATATGCCCCAGATGTTGCGATCACAAAAAAGCTCAGTCCCAGATAGACGCATGAAAGGATCAGTTGTAGAAGTCCAAGATAACATCAAGGAGTTTTTACTAATATCCTCATACAGTGCATATATCACCATTTCATTTTCATAGTTGTATAGCTGCAGTGAAGACAAGACACCACAGTGGCTGTCTATATCTGCATTCCATGGAGAAATCTCTAATTTTTTAAAAACCCATCTCAGAAAGAAGCACACAGAAAGGTTTGCATTGTGCATTTGAGGATTGAATTCAGGCTATTCAAACTGATATGAAAAAAATAAAAACAAAAGCTAAAGCCTACCGATCAGAGTAAAAGTGAACCACCGCATTACCTCACTATTGAGGATTAAGGATTAACACTCTTCCTGTAAAGCTGGCTAGGTATCTGTTCACTATTACAATCATTAAAATGCAAAAACAGTAGGGCTGTATAAAGTTACATTCGTAGTAAGTAAGTAACATTACGTTAGGAACAATCCACAGCCTACATTTTTCTGGATTTGTTTTAGAAGGGAATAAATCGTACTTCTCCTTTCAACCTCTCTGGGTAGTGACTAAGGCTGATCCACATGTGCACATTTCCAGGTGGAGTGAGATTTAGAAAAGGGAAAGTTACCTGCAGGTGTGCACGATTTAATTTGGATCCTTCACACCGTTATACATGAGGCCCCAGAACTGTTAGGACTTCAGGACCAATGCAGAGGTGTCAGATAATTTACCCATCATGTAACTAATAATTTTCAGTGCAATGCAGAACAGACCAGCATTTATGATTATAATGCAGTATTGACGCCAACACTGTCTGACCCGCTGTGAAGTACAATCTCACCTCCACACTGATCCTCTTCTCTCCGTACACAGACTCTCCTACCACCATGTTCTTGGTCACCAGGGCATCCTCCTTACCTCTGCAGATGAACACTCCTGAGTAGACATACACACCGTAAGTCAGTGTCTAGTGGACACACTATTTAAGTCGATTCAAATTAACTGGTAGATCCAGTCAGATACAAGGCAATACACGTCAATGCCATTCCACCAGGTGGAGAAGACCCTGGGACGGCCGCATTTTGTCAGTCCAATCAATACTCTTTATAAAAAAAATTTAAAAAACAAAACACACAGCAATATTGCTGTGTCACTGTACACCACAACAGCCGCTGGTGAGCAGAAACTTTCATGTCAAGCCCTGAACAGGAGTAATACAAACCTTCATGTCTGTGTGGCTCAACCAAGACCTTCTTCCCTCCTCCAAAGCCTCCTCTGCCGCCCCTACCCCCTCTCCCTCTTGGGGTGCCTCTGCCACCCCCTCGGCCCCGAAATCCTCCACCCTCTGGGGACCTAAAACCTCCACCTTAAAACAGACACATTTTATATATTTTTAATATAGACTCAAACTTAGTTCAGTTCATAATTATTAAGTAAATAATTGAACAGATTTTCTATAAAAACAGCTCAGAGTTCAACATGCATGTGTATTCTTTAATGAAAAGAATGATGATTAATTTCCATACTGTGATGATACAGATTAGATTTAACTTTATAGTCATTGCACATGTCACTAGGTACAAAGCTACAAAAACTGACCACATGTTTACAATACTTAAAGCTCTTATCATCCACTCCCTCCAGCCTTACCTCTTCCTCCTCTGAATCCTCCTCGGCCTCCCCTGTCACCAAATCCTCCTCTACTTCCACCTCTACCCCTTCCTCCACGGTCCCCACGAGGACTGAACCCTGGAAGACAAACAGATATAGGGGCCCAGCTGAATGTAAAGGCGTGCATTAGGAGTTCCTGGTCCGGTGGAATATCAACACAGCCTACAGATGTAGCTGCAGAGCTAGGTTACTGTGCCCCTCTTCAGAGCCAACATGTGGGGGCTACCACATTCAGACTAGGAACCGGGACCGGTCAGACTGGGCTGCTTGCGTTCAAACCTACATGTTGCTGATTAAGCAAAGGGTTTTAAGTCCCGCTCAGAGATCCCCCCTCTTTCTCTCGTGATGTAACGTCATTATAATCGAATATGTTCGGTATTTCTGATAACAGTGATTTTAGTTTTCTTTAACTTCCTATATTTGATGACCGGGGGAAAGAATGAAAGCAACGAGTCTTGTTTGGCAACGTTACATGTGCAGTAGCAGATTAAGTTCATCCCTCAGCCGCTGATTTAACGCACAAACAACGCCGGCACAATCGATTATTTCACTTTCTTTCCGTTTCACGGGTATGTCGGGGATCGAGCGTGGTCTGGATTGAACGGAAGATCAACACGTGTTTGGCCACGCGAGGGCCTCAAGCGAGCTGGCGGAGAACAGTTCCACCATTAACCCAACGTTCGCACAGTTTAGCTCACATGTCACATGTGTTCACGGAGAAAGCGTTCACACACGGGGCAGCAGTTTCTTTCACCTGGTAACAGTTTGTGTCCGGTTAAAAGGGCAACATGGCGGCGTAACGTTAGGCCGAGCACACTCCAGCACTTTAACTTAAACACGACGGACACGTTTACAAAGTTTAGCATCTAACGTTACTGAAAAACACCACTACAAGCAGATCCACTGAAACGTTACCTGGCCTCATGTTAGCTGGTGGAAAGCGTTAAAAGGATGCTGCCAGCAGGATTCTTCTCTTTCTCTCGTCCTGTGACTCTCTGAGACCACACGTGCTGCTCTGCTCTGCTCTGCTCTGCTCTGCTCTGCTCTTCTTTTGCTACTGCTGCTGCTTCTCCTTCTTCTTCTTTGGGTTTTTACGGCAGCTGGCATCCATTGAGTTGCAATACTGCCACCTTCAGGTTCTTCTTCTTCTCCTTTTTACTAGCGACTTGCAACCAGATGGAGCATTATCGCCACCTACTGTATCTTAGTTACTTCTACCTAAATCTTTGTGTTCATTCCAGTTTGTTGTACAAAGGATGAGATGTGTTTGAGCACCATCTTTCCGGAGTTATATGAGAAACCACCCTCTGGTTTTATTTACCCTTTGCTTTCATTCACACTAAATGCGCCTATCTGATCCAGTCGCCCTCAGAAAAAACAAATATCCATTTCCTACCTTCCACGCTCTCTCCACACTCCAATAAACTTTTTACTGTATTATCTACCCGTTCTATTTTTTGTAACACCCACTTATCATTTCTTGTCTTTCCTGAGTAAATTTCCTGCATGTTGTAAGAATATGTTCCGCTGTTTCAGCCTCCTGACATTGTTCACACATTCCTGTAGGATGTTTTCCTGTAATTAAAAGTGTGCTGTTAAGATTGCTATGCCCAATTCTCAGCCTGCTTATTATCACCTGCTCTTTCCTCTTTGCTCCCCTACTTCTTGATACGCCTACTCTGCTTTGGATTGTATGTAAATGTCTCCCTTTTGTGCATTATTCCAGCTCTGTTGCCATTGTTGATTTACACTTCTCCACACTATCCCTTTCCCCTCTGATTTTGATAATTTAACATTAATAATTAATGATTTTTAACTGCTTCTTTTGCCAGCTTGTCTGCTTTCCCATTTCCCCCGAATTCCCGAGTGTGCAGGGACCCACAGAAATGTGACATTTTCCCCCTGCCTAGCTACTCTTGAGTTCATAAATAATACTTCATACAGCAGGTCCAGGTGACTTCTGGGTGTCTGTCTTCATGCGTTTAAGATGCTGCTGCTACTTCTTCTTCTTTTTTCCGGCAGTCTCGGCACTGTTTTAGTGCATTGCTGCCTCCCAGTGGTGTAGTATTGCTATTGAAGCTTAGTCACCTAAGAGCTATATCTTGCAATAAAGACATGTGGATTTAAGGAAGTCAATCATTTCCTTTTGAAGTAACCCGTCACTTAGAAGTGTTCTGATTAAAAATATTTACATTCCCAGTTTGCCTAATCCTAGTGAATAAATCCCTCCTTTTCTTGGCATAGAGTGGGCAGTGCATTAAGACATGTTGTACAGATTCCAGGACTCCACAGTGTAGCATCAGTCCACTTGCTAGTCCGTAATGTCGCAGTCTTAGCTTTGTCACTTTAACGTCATCTGTCCGAGGCATGTTCTATTTCCGAGCTGTACTACAGGTTCAGTGTTGTCCAGCTTTCTCCTACTTTCGTTTGCTGCGGCGTTCCATCCCACCAAGTGGCATCTCTACAATATCCCTGCTCAAACCTGCCTTCGCTACCTGATCTGCCACCTCATTATCCTCAACCCTGACATGCGGTGGCACCCAAAGAAAACCCACAGTACACCCGTGCTCCAGTTTAATAATCATCATTAAAATCTCCCCAGCTATGTCTGGCCCAGCTCTACCACCCTCAACCCGCCCAGAGCCATCGAGGCAGATAAAGAGTCCCACTATAAAGCAACTAATTCTGCAGTGAATATTGAAATCCCATCAGGCAGTCTTCTCCACTGACAGAATTGAACATGGGGAACATACAAGCGAAATCCCACTGTTCTACTTTCAGGGTGTCTTGACCTATCAGCATATACGCTTATATACTGTAGTCCCTCCACCTAATCCTAAAGCGTTCCTCTACATAAACAGCAGGATTTCCCATTCACAGATCTTTATTGACTCTTTAATAACATAGATTTGTCTTTCATAGACAATCGAGGGACATCTGGCCATCATACAGACAGCCCTACCTCTACGGAGGACTGATCCTAACAGATTAAGAAATAAATACATAAATAAATAACTAAGCATCCTATTAAAGGCACAAAAAAAAAAATAAAGTAAATAAATAAATGTAGGCAGTAATTAAATTATACAATGAGACATAAATGTATATATCTTTTAATTAGCTTCTTAACTTGTTTATTTATTGTCCGTTATAATCTTCAACTTTATTTATTAATGACTTCTTTTTTAAATGTATTTATTCTTCCTTTGCATTTTCTACCCTATTTATTTCCCCAATGGTATTTATTTCTGTCTGCTCTTTTTACATTTCTCTATGTATTTCTGCCTCATTATGCAAATGAGGAGGGGCTGTGTCTCAAGGGGTGAACTTCTCGCCTAACCCCAAACCCAAATGAATCGATGGCCGCTTAGGGCTTCCGTATCTGCTGCTGCTTCTTCTTCTTTTTCTTCTTCGTCGATTTATGGCAGTTGGCATTCACGATTTTGCATTACTGCCACCTTCAGGTTTTATTCAGCGTTCCAGACCGGTCGGAACGAGAAGGGTCCAGCTGCAGACTGCAGACAAACGTGACGGAAGTTGAACTTCCATATATGGTTTGTCCCAGAAGCCACAATGCACAAAATGTGATGAAGTGTCGTTTATCTGAGCCGTTAAAAAAGAGGTGTCAACTGTCAAAGTTGTAATCAGTGTACATTATGCGTTAATATATACTATACTATAATTATATATTATTAATATAGTATATAAATACTATAATATTTATTTATCATAGCCTAATGATAATAATAATGCAATGTTTCAATTCAAACCACTGTTTTTGTTGTATATTTTAAGTTTCACGAACCAAAAATGTTCTGTAACGTTACATTATGAGCCAGATGTATCTTGATTTAGGTTAAAACTTCACAACATTACTGAGAATTTAATGAAAGAATAACAGCGGTACGAACATTAACAGTATCGTTCAGCTTTTGCTGGACAAGTCTGCTGCAGTGGTCTGTGTGACTGGGCCTGGGGGAGCTAACCGGAGCTAGCTGGCTAACTATTCCTGACAATATATATTACCCTTACCCTAACCATCACAGGGTGTGTGCCTAACGCTATTAGGAGCGTTTAACTTAACGTGATGCATGCTGGACTTAAAATAATAATAATTTTCTCTCTCTCTTTATTAGTATAGCAGTATTAACAATTCAACATACAGGGATACATACAACACATAAAAGATACAAAAGGTACATATAGCTAGGGGGGACTACAAAAAAAGAGACAAATATAAAAAACAAAAAAGGACAAGAATATCACAGAAAGACCTTCAAATGTGTACAGATATTAAGTACCTTCAGAGCCTTTTTGTTGGAAGAGAAACCAATTGTTCTAAAATAAAGTTCAATTTCCTTCTTAAAGACTATAAATAGGGGTTTTTTTGCCTGTAAATTTGCATTTATGTATATGAAATTTAGCCAGAAACAAAACTAAATTTGCTATAAAATAATGGTCGCAGTGCTGCTTTTCATTACTGAAAACACCAAAAACAACATTGTGCCAGAACAAGCTGAAACCTGGATATATATAATCATTAATAAATGTACATCCATCCTTCCACAATTGTTTTACAAAAGTACAGTGCCAGAACAAATTATAAATAAATAATAAATTAAGGCCCATGACAAAAAGGCCTGCCGGTGAAAAGCAGAGAGCTTAACAGGTACTTTGTCAATATCATAATTACAAACCAACATAAAGTTAAGGCCGCCAAACATAGAGAATACATGATTGGGAATCAAGTTCCACATCGAGTCCGGATTCTTCAAAAATTGTTTAATCCCGTTAATCTTACAGGTCTTATTTAACGTGGAAAAGTCCAGAAAATTTATCCCACCATACTCATAGGTATTCATAATAACACTCCTCTTAATATAATGAATACGGTTTTTCCACAAAAAATTAACCAGCACAACGGCACACTTTGTCATCAAGATACAGGGACAGAGCAGCATAAGTCAGCCTAGATATTCCTTCAGCCTTAGAAATAAGGACTCGACCCTTTAGTGATAAATCCCGCTGTAACCACTGATTTAGTTTTGTTTGGGTCTTTTAAACAATAGGGTTAAAGTTAACTAGGCCTCTGGATTTTTGATCCTTGAGGATGGTTATTCCTAAGTACATCAGTTCATTTTTAACTGGGATGCCACAATAACAAGAGGTTAAACAGTTTTTAACAGCCATGAGTCCACATTTCTTAATGTTCAGAAATAGACCAGATGCTTTGGAAAATGGCTCTATAACTTTAAGTGAAGCAGAAATCTATGTATCATCTCTGAGAAGCATAGTATCGTCCACCAGTTGGCTTATCACAATCTCTTTGCCTGCTATAAGAATACCCTCTAGAGAGTTTTCAGTAAAAGAATTTGTAAGAAGCTGGGTTACCAACAGGAACAGGTAGGGGGAGATAGGGCATCCTTGTCTAATGCCCCTCCTTAAATCAAATCTTGGAGAGGAGCCATTTCTAAGTTTAGGAGCTTGTACCGTTTGTATAGAGTGTTTCAATAGCTTTGCAAAAGCCAATCCAAATTTTCTAAGAGACTGAAAAAGGAACTGGTGTTCAACAGTGTCAAAGGCCTTGTGAAAGTCTAGAAATAGGATGAAGCTGTTCTCGAATATAAAATCTGAGTAATCCAAAATGTCTGAAAACCAATCTAATATTGTTTGAAATGTGTCTATGTCTCATAAAACCTGACTGTGTCTCATCATCTGAGTCCCCTTAAGTCTCTTTGCTAATAACAAAGCCAGAATCTTATAATCATTATTAAGGAGAGAAATTGGGCGCCAATTATCAATTAACCAAGTGTCATTCTTGGGAATAAGCGTTATTAAACTTTGAGTCATAGTGGGAGGGAGAGCTTTTTTTTCCTATACTTTCGATGAAGACCTCAAGCAAAAAAAGAGTTAGTTGTTCAGGAAATAATGCCATCAATTCCAGGAGATTTGTTGTTTTACAAGTGCCTAATAGACTCAGCAACTTCTTCAATGTGAATAGGTTTATCACATAGCATAGAGTCTGCCTCACTTTAACAGTCTTCAGCGAGTCAAACAAAAGATCTGTGG